AGGTGTAAGACATGAAATTTTGTAGATTACCTTTGACTTCAAAAGTAAAAGTCATCCATCCTTACAGCCACGCTCTCAGTAAGTACTTGCAGTCTCGTTCTCTGTTTTCTTCTTCCTGCTCTAAACTCATCTTCTCCACAGTTTTCATCCGTCAACGACCTTTCACTGACTCCCTCTCTTTGCTTTTGTTCTTCTCTCTTGTTCTGCGCTCCCTCCAGGTGCCGAGTCCATCTCAGTGTACGAGGACGTCCTTCGCTCAGTCCGCTACCGACTGGCCAAAGGCTCAGCCCGCTTTGAGAGACGTTTCCGTCTGTCTTGCTCTGAGATGAATGGCAGATACACAAGCAATGAGCTGACTCTGGAGGTGAGAAGAAACGTCCTTCACATAACATCTCTAAAACCAACATAAAGATGACCATATGCGTTAGATCATCATGGTTACATTATTCTTCTTATTTGATATGAACAGACTCATTAGATTGCAGATTCTGTGTATTTACAGTTTAGCCACGTAAGCAGTGAGGTCATTCCTTCTCTCCTCCTTTCCCCCTTCAGGTAAACTTCCTCCACTCCCTGGACAGTCTGTACCATCCGTCCCACCTGCTTGCCTCCCAGCAGCAGTTCCTCCATCCATCCCACCATGCCGGAGAGCTGAGTGGACACACACTGCCCAACCCACACCGCAACTCAGGTGACATTTCCCTTTAATCAGCCTTTACTATCCTGCACACTTCCTGTGCTATAAAGTTACGGTACAATTCATTACCACGTTTCCACAACAGAAGCTCAAAAGTGCTTCCTGATGAAAGATAAAAAGAAACAAAATACAGTCACATCATAGGTGTGATTGATAATTCTGGTAGCCTAATGGGCACATCACTCTGAACTGCAGCATCTGTGCTTTCATCTTCTTTTACAGCTTGTGTCCTGTCTCAACACTATATCAATTAAAAAAAAAATCAAAGCAAATCTTGAGTAGACATGGTGATGGATTAAATAATAATTTGCTGCTTATCTTTGAGGAGATCCTGATTTTGTTTATCAAGTGAAGGACACAGTATGAACGTGTTCACAGGGCTGATGATAAACACATTCTGATCAAGCAGTGTTACTCCACTAACACCACAAAATATGCAGCAATGTGGCAGAGCAAAAGAAGTCTGTAAGATAGTTACCAAGGATGTAAACAGTGCTGGATTTTAAATGCTTAAAAAAACCCTAACTGCTGACACACAAATACACAACAATGCAAACACACATCAAACGTGAACTCTTTCAGAGAGAGAAAATTTTAACCTTTAGGAGTGGACATGCCAAAGTTACAGTCTTCTTTAGTTTTGAGCCTGGAGTGAGGGGCCACCAAAATACTCCAATCAGAGACCTCAGAAACATACTGGGGATGAAGTGCTGCAGCAAAATCTTAATGCAGGAAGGTATCTGAACACCGAGAGCTCTAAAAGTAATCACAAGACCAACGGGAGGAACCGTGTATGTGATGGGTTGGCTAACTATAATTATTATATAATGGTCTGCTGTTTATTTTCATCTACTGCTACACAGAAGATAGCATTATTATTATGATGAATCCTGTTGCCCACAAACTCAAGTAAAGGTTTGATAAGACATAAACTTTAAACACACAGTAAGCTTGGTTAGTTTTGTTACTTTTTACTTTAATATCCAGAGTGGTGCATATTTTTGAGCAGATGTTTTTAAAGTTGAAGGCATTCTGTATTTGGGTCAACATATGTTCAAACTTGAAAACAGCATCCCTGAGTTAATACACTCTGGACTTGATGAGAAAATGGGTTGAATTTGACAAAAAAAAAGTCTTGAATGAATGTATCTGCCTTTTTGTGGTGAACTTTTGGTCCTGTACTGAGGATTTATGTCTAAAGAAAGTTGTTTATTAAATTGGGTATAATACACTACAGTGCCTTTGGTTATTGTAATGAGAGAAAATGTCATTGTGGCTTACTCATACAGCTGTGGGACAACACCGAAGCTCTATGGCATTGATGAATGACCTTCATATTTGTTATTAGGATCAATTCATTGCTGTTTTGGTACCTTAAAAGTGGGTTTTTAATGATAAATATAATATAGATGATCATAAAATCTGTATCATTTCACTACATACAAAATCACTTTGTTTTATTTTCTTTACAGTGGTACCAGGAGCAGCCACAGTCATCATAATGGTGTGTGTTGGTTTCCTGGTTGTCATGGTAATCCTTGGAGTGTTCCGAATCCGTTCCATCCATCGCCGTGGGGAAGGTTCCAGGGGCGGGGCTAAGGAGGGTAGCAGCCAATGGGACGACTCCGCCCTTACCATCATTGTTAACCCCATGGAGGTAAAAAAAAACAAAAACAACCCCAGTTAGTTTTTTATTGTTAAATGATGAAGAATAAAAGTAACCTCACCTTTTAATCTCTTGCTTTTTACCTGCACACAGTCCTATGAGTCGCGCATGGGCATCTCTGCCGACACGGAGGGGGAGGGGGAGGAAGACGAGGAGGTGGCTGAGTCACCTGACGATGCCAGCGATGACCAGCGAATCATCATCAAGAAAGAGGGAAGGGACGGCAATGCCCGTCGCTATTGAGCCGCCAGTTCTCATGGAAACCACAAACCGGCTCACCAGTCACACACGCCCAACACTTTTAATATTGACGACTGCTGACACCACTAGTATGAGGAATGTATGCTTACAAACACAACGCACAACACAGTCACTGTAATACTCTCGTACTCTGCGCCATATGTGACCTATAGCCAACAAAGGGCAGATGTTTCCACCTAAATGTTCAATGGCACAATGTATACAGTTAATGTAATTTAACCGCCTGAGCAAAACCCCACCAAAATTGTATGTGATGCACCAGTTCTAAATCACAAGATGGTAATGTGTCTGTATAGTGTGTTACTGGTTGAATGAGACTGCTTTTGTTTAAAAAAAGAAAAAAAAGATTGTACTTTATCTTTTATTACTGAAAACAGAATGAAATCTATACGAAATGAAACCTGGAAAAAAAACATGCAAACAACAAGATACAAAGCCTTGATTCTGACATGTGTCTGCACTCCCCAATAAGACTCAAGAAGTCTGTGCACAAGCTTAACACCTCAACATATTCCTCTACAGTCGCAGAGTGAAGAAAGTAGATTCTGAAATTGTCTCACAAAAACAATAAAAACACTTTGCTTGCAGGAATTTTTAATTTATCGTGACTTATTTAGTGCTTCAGCTCCAAAATATGTTTTTATGCGGGGCTGGTGATTAGCTGACAAAATTCAAGGACTATCAACCACACACCTCATCCTTCAAACAGACTCTGCAATACTCCATAAATACAAAATAAAAGGCCTATGAGTGTCGAGTCCATGCAGCATCGTAAGGGGTTCAAGTTGGAATCTCTGCAAAGTTTCAGCTTGTGCCACTACATGACAAAAAAATCTACAATAAACCTGGTGCAACCTCACGTCTAACCCACCCCTCACAGTGACCACAGGAATGTCTCTAAATGACTCACACTGCACTCTTTCACTCACTGCAAACTGCTTTTACAATAACTGCAGGACGTCACATGCAAAAAAAAAGGAAAACCACACACACACACAGATACTACACACTCCATTATGCTACTACCCCTGCTGTTTCCAGAATGTCCGCTCAGCTTGGGCAGTTTTGATTGTATTGATTGTAATGAATTTTCTGTACATACAGTGATGAATATAATGATATTATTGTTATTACTATTATTATTGCAGCCACACTTTAAGAGGGAGCAGATTATGACTTTTACTTTGTACCCGCTCCATTATTTGAGTAATCACCTTTACAGCATCAGAAAACAGTATATTATTAATGATAATAATAGTAGTAGTGATAAGGATGACAATCCCTGGCTTGATGAGTGTCTCTTACTTTGTGTGTAATATTGTTGTAATTTAAGAACTTGTCGATATCTGAATCACAGAAAAATGGAGGGCACATTGTTGTGATACTCACACACGTCTCACTCATTTCACATTTCTTGGACCTTTTTTTTTTTCACATGTCAAAAACAACACCTTTTTTAAAATTTATTTTTTCACACCATGCAATATCTTTGGTTCAATGAATGTACAACTGTGTGCTTCTCCTCACCTAACCCACCCCCTCTGCCTTTTCCCTCCACCTCTCCCTCTGTGTCTTGCTGTCTGTCTGTGTAGCCTATCAATGTGCAGTGCTAAATCTGTCAGTAAATAAAGCCTGTCGTTTTTGACTGTGATGTTAAGAAGGAATAAACAATGCATTGATTAATAACTTATATTATTACTATGTTACAATTGGAACATTACCTGTAATTATTGATACAATTATGACATGGATTATGCTGACTTATTGTTATTGAGAATTGTCAGAAAACATAACAAAATTCATAATAAAAACACTGTATTACAGTCCAACAAAAAAGCTTTCTAATGGAGACGTCATATAGTGTTTTTATTATGAATTTTGTTATGTTTTCTGACAATTCTCAATAACAATAAGTCAGCATAATCCATGTCATAATTGTATCAATAATTACAGGTAATGTTCCAATTGTAACATAGTAATAATATAAGTTATTAATCAATGCATTGTTTATTCCTTCTTAACATCACAGTCAAAAACGACAGGCTTTATTTACTGACAGATTTAGCACTGCACATTGATAGGCTACACAGACAGACAGCAAGACACAGAGGGAGAGGTGGAGGGAAAAGGCAGAGGGGGTGGGTTAGGTGAGGAGAAGCACACAGTTGTACATTCATTGAACCAAAGATATTGCATGGTGTGAAAAAATAAATTTTAAAAAAGGTGTTGTTTTTGACATGTGAAAAAAAAAAAAGGTCCAAGAAATGTGAAATGAGTGAGACGTGTGTGAGTATCACAACAATGTGCCCTCCATTTTTCTGTGATTCAGATATCGACAAGTTCTTAAATTACAACAATATTACACACAAAGTAAGAGACACTCATCAAGCCAGGGATTGTCATCCTTATCACTACTACTATTATTATCATTAATAATATACTGTTTTCTGATGCTGTAAAGGTGATTACTCAAATAATGGAGCGGGTACAAAGTAAAAGTCATAATCTGCTCCCTCTTAAAGTGTGGCTGCAATAATAATAGTAATAACAATAATATCATTATATTCATCACTGTATGTACAGAAAATTCATTACAATCAATACAATCAAAACTGCCCAAGCTGAGCGGACATTCTGGAAACAGCAGGGGTAGTAGCATAATGGAGTGTGTAGTATCTGTGTGTGTGTGTGGTTTTCCTTTTTTTTTGCATGTGACGTCCTGCAGTTATTGTAAAAGCAGTTTGCAGTGAGTGAAAGAGTGCAGTGTGAGTCATTTAGAGACATTCCTGTGGTCACTGTGAGGGGTGGGTTAGACGTGAGGTTGCACCAGGTTTATTGTAGATTTTTTTGTCATGTAGTGGCACAAGCTGAAACTTTGCAGAGATTCCAACTTGAACCCCTTACGATGCTGCATGGACTCGACACTCATAGGCCTTTTATTTTGTATTTATGGAGTATTGCAGAGTCTGTTTGAAGGATGAGGTGTGTGGTTGATAGTCCTTGAATTTTGTCAGCTAATCACCAGCCCCGCATAAAAACATATTTTGGAGCTGAAGCACTAAATAAGTCACGATAAATTAAAAATTCCTGCAAGCAAAGTGTTTTTATTGTTTTTGTGAGACAATTTCAGAATCTACTTTCTTCACTCTGCGACTGTAGAGGAATATGTTGAGGTGTTAAGCTTGTGCACAGACTTCTTGAGTCTTATTGGGGAGTGCAGACACATGTCAGAATCAAGGCTTTGTATCTTGTTGTTTGCATGTTTTTTTTCCAGGTTTCATTTCGTATAGATTTCATTCTGTTTTCAGTAATAAAAGATAAAGTACAATCTTTTTTTTCTTTTTTTAAACAAAAGCAGTCTCATTCAACCAGTAACACACTATACAGACACATTACCATCTTGTGATTTAGAACTGGTGCATCACATACAATTTTGGTGGGGTTTTGCTCAGGCGGTTAAATTACATTAACTGTATACATTGTGCCATTGAACATTTAGGTGGAAACATCTGCCCTTTGTTGGCTATAGGTCACATATGGCGCAGAGTACGAGAGTATTACAGTGACTGTGTTGTGCGTTGTGTTTGTAAGCATACATTCCTCATACTAGTGGTGTCAGCAGTCGTCAATATTAAAAGTGTTGGGCGTGTGTGACTGGTGAGCCGGTTTGTGGTTTCCATGAGAACTGGCGGCTCAATAGCGACGGGCATTGCCGTCCCTTCCCTCTTTCTTGATGATGATTCGCTGGTCATCGCTGGCATCGTCAGGTGACTCAGCCACCTCCTCGTCTTCCTCCCCCTCCCCCTCCGTGTCGGCAGAGATGCCCATGCGCGACTCATAGGACTGTGTGCAGGTAAAAAGCAAGAGATTAAAAGGTGAGGTTACTTTTATTCTTCATCATTTAACAATAAAAAACTAACTGGGGTTGTTTTTGTTTTTTTTACCTCCATGGGGTTAACAATGATGGTAAGGGCGGAGTCGTCCCATTGGCTGCTACCCTCCTTAGCCCCGCCCCTGGAACCTTCCCCACGGCGATGGATGGAACGGATTCGGAACACTCCAAGGATTACCATGACAACCAGGAAACCAACACACACCATTATGATGACTGTGGCTGCTCCTGGTACCACTGTAAAGAAAATAAAACAAAGTGATTTTGTATGTAGTGAAATGATACAGATTTTATGATCATCTATATTATATTTATCATTAAAAACCCACTTTTAAGGTACCAAAACAGCAATGAATTGATCCTAATAACAAATATGAAGGTCATTCATCAATGCCATAGAGCTTCGGTGTTGTCCCACAGCTGTATGAGTAAGCCACAATGACATTTTCTCTCATTACAATAACCAAAGGCACTGTAGTGTATTATACCCAATTTAATAAACAACTTTCTTTAGACATAAATCCTCAGTACAGGACCAAAAGTTCACCACAAAAAGGCAGATACATTCATTCAAGACTTTTTTTTTGTCAAATTCAACCCATTTTCTCATCAAGTCCAGAGTGTATTAACTCAGGGATGCTGTTTTCAAGTTTGAACATATGTTGACCCAAATACAGAATGCCTTCAACTTTAAAAACATCTGCTCAAAAATATGCACCACTCTGGATATTAAAGTAAAAAGTAACAAAACTAACCAAGCTTACTGTGTGTTTAAAGTTTATGTCTTATCAAACCTTTACTTGAGTTTGTGGGCAACAGGATTCATCATAATAATAATGCTATCTTCTGTGTAGCAGTAGATGAAAATAAACAGCAGACCATTATATAATAATTATAGTTAGCCAACCCATCACATACACGGTTCCTCCCGTTGGTCTTGTGATTACTTTTAGAGCTCTCGGTGTTCAGATACCTTCCTGCATTAAGATTTTGCTGCAGCACTTCATCCCCAGTATGTTTCTGAGGTCTCTGATTGGAGTATTTTGGTGGCCCCTCACTCCAGGCTCAAAACTAAAGAAGACTGTAACTTTGGCATGTCCACTCCTAAAGGTTAAAATTTTCTCTCTCTGAAAGAGTTCACGTTTGATGTGTGTTTGCATTGTTGTGTATTTGTGTGTCAGCAGTTAGGGTTTTTTTAAGCATTTAAAATCCAGCACTGTTTACATCCTTGGTAACTATCTTACAGACTTCTTTTGCTCTGCACATTGCTGCATATTTTGTGGTGTTAGTGGAGTAACACTGCTTGATCAGAATGTGTTTATCATCAGCCCTGTGAACACGTTCATACTGTGTCCTTCACTTGATAAACAAAATCAGGATCTCCTCAAAGATAAGCAGCAAATTATTATTTAATCCATCACCATGTCTACTCAAGATTTGCTTTGATTTTTTTTTTAATTGATATAGTGTTGAGACAGGACACAAGCTGTAAAAGAAGATGAAAGCACAGATGCTGCAGTTCAGAGTGATGTGCCCATTAGGCTACCAGAAATTATCAATCACACCTATGATGTGACTGTATTTTGTTTCTTTTTATCTTTCATCAGGAAGCACTTTTGAGCTTCTGTTGTGGAAACGTGGTAATGAATTGTACCGTAACTTTATAGCACAGGAAGTGTGCAGGATAGTAAGGCTGATTAAAGGAAATGTCACCTGAGTTGCGGTGTGGGTTGGGCAGTGTGTGTCCACTCAGCTCTCCGGCATGGTGGGATGGATGGAGGAACTGCTGCTGGGAGGCAAGCAGGTGGGACGGATGGTACAGACTGTCCAGGGAGTGGAGGAAGTTTACCTGAAGGGGGAAAGGAGGAGAGAAGGAATGACCTCACTGCTTACGTGGCTAAACTGTAAATACACAGAATCTGCAATCTAATGAGTCTGTTCATATCAAATAAGAAAGAATAATGTAACCATGATGATCTAACGCATATGGTCATCTTTATGTTGGTTTTAGAGATGTTATGTGAAGGACGTTTCTTCTCACCTCCAGAGTCAGCTCATTGCTTGTGTATCTGCCATTCATCTCAGAGCAAGACAGACGGAAACGTTCTCAAAGCGGGCTGAGCCTTTGGCCAGTCGGTAGCGGACTGAGCGAAGGACGTCCTCGTACACTGAGATGGACTCGGCACCTGGAGGGAGCGCAGAACAAGAGAGAAGAACAAAAGCAAAGAGAGGGAGTCAGTGAAAGGTCGTTGACGGATGAAAACTGTGGAGAAGATGAGTTTAGAGCAGGAAGAAGAAAACAGAGAACGAGACTGCAAGTACTTACTGAGAGCGTGGCTGTAAGGGATGGATGACTTTTACTTTTGAAGTCAAAGGTAATC